CTCCCCCTCCTCCCGTGCCCCTCCCCGCCACCCTCTTTGGCAAGTCCGCTGGAGAGGTCGGGCTGCTTCCCCCGTGCCTGTCGCTCCACCCACTTGCCAACACTGGATTTTGTCTGAGGTTTTAGACTTTCACCCGTCTAGTCGGTAAGCAAGGGCACCGCTCTCGCTGTTGTGCGCAGATTTCCGGGCACGGCTAAGCGTCTTCTCCCGTGTTCTCTGCCCGTTTTAACATTTCTGTGAATGCACCACCTCACCCACGTGCCACTTGGTCTTGTGTCTTCCTTTGGGAGAGGCTGCGCAATAATACTCTGCTGCTTTTTATCCTGGGCCCTGTGCACCCGGAACTTAAGCTTGCAGCGTCCCACCGACGTTCTAGGGATTTCTAAAAGTGTTGAATGTTCTAGTGTGTTGATTCTCTGCAAGTCTGAACTTCTGGGTAGAATATGTATTCCTGGAGATTAGCCTGTGATCGTTCCTCCTATGAAGCTGGAAACAACGGGCAGTTACTAGATACTCACGTTCCCTTAGGGGCTGCCCTCACCGTTGCTTATTCACGCTGTCGTCTTGAACACACATTGCCATCACGTGCCAGACTGCTGGTCGGACTTTCCCCACTCTCGGGGTTTCCACTCAGGAGAGAAACACCAGTCCCGAGTCCGCTTTTCTCCGCAGTCACTGTGTCGCTTCTTGGCCCCACAGGCCTCTCCTGGAGTCTCCTGGCCCTGGCCACCTGCCTCCTGGGGCTGAGCCCCGTCCCTCCAGGCCCTTCCACCTCTTGACGCGTCTCACCCCGCATTTCTGCACACAGCAGCCCCCACCCTGGGCTCGCTGGCCCCACTCTCAGCCTGCCACCCGCCGACCCCCCTGCCCTCGGAAGCGTTTCGGCCACCACCTTCCCGCACAACCACTGCCCTCAGACCTGCCCCTTCTCCGTCTGGCACCCTGGATCCCTTCACCTGCTGACCTGGGGGGAGTGGTGTTTCCCAAGGCCACTCCTCAATCCCTCCTCCATCCACTGGCACTCCCCTGACACTCTTGTCTACACGCAGGGCCCTCCACATGCATGTGTCTCCCATGCGGACCGTGTCCCCAGCTCCACACACCCACACGACAGCCTCCTCAGCTCAGCACCCTCACGGCACGTCTCGTGGAGGCGCCAAACCCCGGTCCCAGCGCCCCCTGCAAGACGCACCTGCCACAGCCCGTCCCAGTCACACCAACTCCACCCTTCGGCCCGCAGTTACCACCACCCTCGCCTGTCTCAGACCGGCGTTCCTAGCTTAGGGAGCGAGTGTGTGCCTGGACGTGTGTGTGCATGCCGCCGTGTGGGCACGGACATGCGTTGTGTGCACGCTGAAGTGCGTGAGTGTTTGAGAGGCGGGTGGTCTTCTAGGTGCGAGTGTGCGGGATTCGCGTGAGTACGACGGTGGGCACAACGCGTGACAAATACGGACCCAGCCAGTGACCACGCGTTGGGACCTGGAATGCTGACACCTTGGTCCTACCCCATTCTCGTCTGCCCGGACAGGGCGGCCACCATCCACAGAGCAGCCAGCGTGGTCCAAGCGCTCCTGAAGCCATGGGGTTACGGAGCCCCAAACCCCTTCTCCTCTCTCTCGGAGGGAAGCGACGGTTCCTACAGAAGCCGGCAGGCTCTGCACGACCTGCCCACCCCTTTGAGGCCCCCGGCCCCCCTTCCCCTTCCCTCTCTCTCTCCACAACTAGCCCCCCGTGAGTGTCCCTCAGCTCTCCCTTCTTCGTTCTCTCTCTCCGTGCCCTCCCCCTGTCAGCATCTCTCTGGCACCCCTTTCCTCCCTCTCTCTCTGTGACCTGCCTCTCCCCTGGTGTCGCCCTCGTCTCCCTTCGCGTTCCTTCTCCCTCTCAACGGCCACCCGCTTTCTCCCAGTCTCTCTCTGGTCTCCCTTCTCCTTCCCTGCTCTCCGCACAGCTCCGGCAAGCCACCCCACCCCCTCCGTGGACTCTCGTGGGCGCTGGACAGACCCACCCTCCCCAGCCCTTCCTGGCCTACTTTCCGTGCTTGAACGTCTCTTGCCAGATGCGTCTCCCCATTTCCTCCTTCGCGTTTTGGCCTAAATGTCTCCTGGTCAGGGGGTCCCAGTTCCCATCCCTAGCCCCTTGCTTTGTCTTTGCTATGAAAGTTATTACTTCCCAACACACTAATCATTTGCCTCCTGCGATTCTTGTATGCCTTCTCCACTAGATTGTTTTGTTCTGCCTGGGACTAGATCTGTGATGTGGCAAGCATTCATTAGGTATTTGTTGAGCGAATGAGTTCATGAATGAAGAGCAGGGGATTGACTCCCGGGAACCCACTTTCTTGCTTACCGTCTTGAAGCTCAAATACAGAATAACACCCAAGGCATTCCATTTCATCAAAGTTGGGAGCAGGAATGTCGTCAATGCTTTCTGATCACAAGGCCGGAACGATCATGAGTATTTTCAGATGTTTCCTCAGCACTTGATGGTAAAACAGGGTGTGGCTTTTCTAGCGCTTTAATTTGTGGAGGGAGAAAGAGAAAAAGCACGGGCATCTTTGTTGCTGGAAAGACCCTCACCACCCCCTGGGATGGGAGATTCTTTCATCAGAATGAAGTATCTGATCTGCATGGTGCCTCTCACAGAGTAAATACCCAGTAGAGCGTTATAGACTCCCGGAAGGAAGGAAGGAAGGAAGGAAGGAAGGAAGGAAGGAAGGAAGGAAGGAAAGAAGGAAGGTAGGAAGGAAGACAGGCAGGCTGCACGTTGCCCGTTGCAGTCAGTACTAAAGCAAAAAAATCAAGAACCATGAAATGACGCCTGAGAGTTTTGAACAAACGTAGCATCTCTGTCTCCTGCCTTCTGAAGTCGACTTTTCATTGGAATTTGTGACTGGGAAGGCTTCCTCGATGCCTGAAAGACATGCCTTCCTCTTGACAGCGTGGGCTAGGGTCCTTGGATCAGGACCTAATGGAGCCCGAGAAGCTCATGAGCGTACGCTTTCTGCAGAAGCCGGTATGTGGTGTGTACCTAGCTGGCGCAGGGTCAGACGTGTGTGGAAATGCAGTGTCGGAGGCCTGGAGAGTGTAGACATCTGCTGCAGGGAGCGCTTCTGGTCGGGCCGTCTTCCAGTAGTTGTTTCTTCCCAGAGGAGGGATGCTGACACTTGTTCTGGACATACGTGTATGTGTCATGTTTAGGCTAAAAGGGCGTGCGTGCGTGCATGCGATTGTGTGTGTGTGTGTGTGGTTCTCTGGACGGAGCAAAGGGCTCTGGTCAGAGTGAGGAGTAGTTGGGTGTTTTTCAAACTTCTCCATGAAATGCGGTCGCCGTGACTTCCTGAGAGTAAGCTCGCATCCACTTCTCTCTCGATGCAGTTTGACAACATTGGAACATTCCAGGTGATCCCACTTCCTTCCGATGAGGAGAGTGAAGCCTTCAAACGATTTCGACGCTGTACCCTTTGCTATGGTAAGACCAGGGAGGGGGCCTGCTGTGCTGAAAGCTCGCCTGTTTCTCACGAGTTATCGAATCAGCTTTATCGGAGGTTTCTATTTTTGAACATTTTTTACAGGGTCTTGCTCTGTTGCCCAGGCCGGAGTGCAGGGGTGCGATCCGAGCTCTCTGCAGCCTTGACTTCCTGGGCTCAAGGGATCCTCCTGAGTAGCTGGGATGGCAGGCGCACACCACCACACCTGGATAATTTTTTATTGTTTGTAGAGATGAACTCTTGCTCTGTGGCTCAGGCTGGTCGTGAACTCTTGGCCTCAAGCAGTCCTCCTGCCTCAACATCTTAGGGTGCTGAGATTACAGGCATGAGCTACCATGTCTGGCCGGGGTTTTCTATTTTCAGTTTTTCAGTTTTCCAACACAGTATGCTAGTTTCCATCTCTGTAATGTTTGAAGTTTCCATAGAATGTGAACGTTGGTTTAGAAAATTATTCCAATGGATGTAGCATTTCCTGAAGCCTACTGGGTAGTTTTATTGAAAGTCTCTAAGATACTGAAAATACTTTCTAAATGAGTTTGAACATGACATATGGGCTTTAGGTATACACATTACCTACATCTGCTTTCAAAAAAGATTTTCCTAAATTGTCTGCTAGTGGCCCCAGAAATAGTGGGACATTGAGAATTTCTCATTGATTTAAATTAAGTGAGATCAAAGAGGTATTGATCAGATTATTAAATCTTGATGATCAGTCACTGAGCCACTTAAAGAATATCACAAACAAGTGTCTTGTGTCACTCTTGGACCAATGATGTGTCTCTCTGTATTTTTAGATAAATGTTTTCCACACACCTGCGTTCAAGAGATTTTCTTACCTGAAAATTCCCACATGGATGTTGCCCTCCTCTTAGACAATTCTCGGCATATAGCAGCTGATGAGTTTAAGGCCATGCAAGCCCTGATGAGTGCGGTGATTGACGTCTTTCACATTGCTCCAGACCCGGTAGTCGCAGGCTCTGGCGACAGAGTCGCCCTGCTGAGCTACCCTTCTTGGGATAGTTCCCAGAGGAGAGAGGGTGCAGTCAAAACAGAGTTTGCGTTTACAACTTACAACAGCGGAGTCCTCATGAAAAACCACATCTGGACCTCCTTCCAGCAGCTGGATGGAGAAGCCATGATTGGCCGTGCCCTGCTGTGGACCATGGAAAAGCTCTTCTCAGAAACTCCCAACCCAAGAAAACACAGGGTCATCTTTGTGCTCTCAGCTGGAGAAAATTATGAGAGCAAGGAATTTGTAAAGAAGATGGCCGTGAGGGCCAAGTGTCAAGGCTATGTCATATTTGTGGTTTCTCTCGGCTCCACACATAAGGACGACATGGCGGAGCTGGCCAGTCTCCCACTTGACCAGCATCTCATCCAGCTTGGGAAGATGCATCAACCAGATCTGGACTACATTGTGAAGTTCTTAAAGCCATTTGTATACTCGGTCAGACGTAAGTTACTGTTGCATTGTTCTTCCTTGTTTCAGTAAGCGAGCGAGCGTTTGTTGATAGCACTGATAATCCGACACATCTTTGTGTCTACAGCTAATCTAAACACAGTGATAAATTCGATGGTGAGATGGGAGCGGGGGTGGAACACATCCTGGTTATGCCCTGTGTTTATCCTGGGCACAAAATGGTGAGACCTTTTTTATGGTAGAATGTCTCTCAACCAAATCTCAGCCCCAGAAAGCCCAGTGTGACTGGAGGTCTCCTGATCACACTTGCTCAACCTGAAACATTCTGGCAGCTCTCAGGTGGTCTCTGGAACGAGCATTCACGTAAAAGTTTTACCCGGTTTATTTCTAACTTTGGCACACCCTGGAGACCTGTGTGAGGTAGAAAGACAACCATGTCCTGTGCTCCTCTCAGAGTCTGAACACACAGATCTTCTGGGAATCTTGTTCAAATGTAGACTCTAAGTCGGCATGCCTAGGGGGGACCTGAGGGTCCTCATTTCCAGAAAGCACAACAGAGATGTGCAAGCTGCTGGTTCACAGGCCACTCTGAATAGCATGGCTCTGGGCCAGTGCATGACAAGGGCCACTCATTGGACAAGTGCAAACAAGGGCCACTCATTGGACAAGTGCATGACAAGGGCCACTCATTGGAAAAGTGCAGACAGGGGCCACTCGTTCAATAGGTGCAGACAAGGGCCACTCATTGGATGGGTGCCAACAAGGGCCACTCATTGGACGGGTGCAGACAAGGGTCACTCATTGGATGGGTATAGACAAGGGCCACTCATTAGTTGGGTATAGACAAGGGTTACTTGTTGAATGTATATAGACAAGAGCCACTCACTGGATGGGTGCCAACAAGGGCCACGCATTGGATGGGTGCAGACAAGGACCACTCATTGGTTGGGTATAGACAAGGGCTGCTCATTGAATGTGTATAGGCAAGGATCACTCATTGGATGGGTGCCAAAAAGGGCTACGCATTGGATGGGTGCAGACAAGGGCCCCTCATTGGATGGGTGTAGACAAGGGCCATTCATTGGATGGGTGCCGACAAGGGCCACTCATTAGCTGAGTGCTGACAAGGGCCACTCATTGAATGGGTACCAGCCCCCAAACTGATCTGTGAAGAGATTCAAACAGAAGTTGGGAGCGAGCATCTAGAACCTCTGAAGCAGTTTGACATCGTTGCAGCAACAAGTGCACGAGCACTGGACAGTGTCTCATTCAACAGGGTATAGAAAGGTATCAGTCTGCAAAGGATTGGAAACAAAAACACCTTGCCCTCCACCACGAGTGGGTTGAGAAAACTCTCTTCTTGAATTTTCAGCAAGGAGTGGTTTTGCCCCAGGGGATCTTTGGAAACGTTTTCAGTTGTCCCAACTTGGGAGCGCTACTAGCATCAAGTAAATAGAGCCAGGGATTATGCTATACATCCCACAATTCACAGGACAGCCCCCCCTCCCAACAAAGAACAATCTAGCCCAAAATGTCCACAGCGCTGAGGTTGAGAGACCCGGCTCAGAGGGTCCCACAGAATCGGAGCTGAGCTGCTTCTTTCTGACAGGGAATCGGACAGGTTTGGAGCCGATTCCGCTGAACTGATCCTACTGCCCCGCAATCCCAGTTTCCCTGGCATCCGAGGGGTCCCCAACACCACGACAGGGCTAGTGTCTTGAGAGTTCACTCTCCACCACAGGAAGCTCGGCCTTTCTCCTGGGACTCACAGTCAATTAGAGAATCCAGTAATTGTTTTCCTGGGAAGGCTGCCTCATTCCTTTAAATCTAAGATGTTCTCGAGTGTATAATGTAAAAAAGAAGAAATAATGCTTTCAGTTAAACTTTGACGCTAGCTCTCCTGGTGGAGCATTGTTAAAGTCACTGGAAGGGTCCTCTCGGATGCACACTCCCCTGTGTCCCTCGTGTGCTTTCGTGAACAGGACACGCTGGGCTAAGGCATTTCTACAGCTGCTGTACCGAATTCCATTCTTGTGAGCACCTTTCTGGCTCAGAGCCATCGACATCCCTGCCCACTGTGCAGCGTGGTCTCCGTGTCATTGAGACGTATGATCATGCCCATGTTAAGAAGGCCACGCAGCAGCTCAGAGCTGGTCCTGCTGCTCCTGAGCAGCTTGGTGATGAAGTGGCACTCGCTTGCATGGACGCCCACCTGCGCGCCCAGCTTGCTGCTTTCCCACGACCACGTGGTTTGGAAGAGCGAGAAGACTCCTCTGCGTCCACGGCTGGGGATTGTCCCCAGGCTGCTGGCCCCAGTGCTACAGGTTTGGGGTGGGCACGCTTGTTGTACCCACAGGCACAGGCAGTGACAATTGTGTCACAGTTCCTGCCTCACCAAGAGCAGGTGTCAGAGGCAATTGACCTGAAGACATGTTTTCATCTGAGAGAAATAGAAAAAAGAAATGATACTCATCTCAGAATCAGGGAAGCATAATTATGATAAAGCCACAGACAATCTCTGAGATATTTTCACAGAGTCACCCCATTCAACAGTCAAGGGCCTTTTCGTTAAAAATCAGTTTCCTGAAAGAGGAGGAAATGTTATACTTCTCCGTATTCCAAGATGTGCAGAACAACATTGGGAAGGATGGATCCTTCAGACCCGTGAGCCAAAGTCGTGTCTGAGACTCTCCCTCCGAGCAATCAGTGTCGATGGTGCAGAAACACAGAAACAGCATCACGCAATTAAATGCCACCTTGTCTGTTTGATCCAGCGGCAGAGTCTGGGTGAAAAGGCTTTAGCAAATGAGAACAGAATTCTCCTTAGAGTGTGTTACGTGAGCACGCAGGACATGTGTGTCCCTGCATCACAGTGAAGCCTTAGGCGAACCATTTGCAGGAGTCACCTCCATGAGCCTGGTATTTCTTCAACTGCTAAAACACTCTGAAACCAAATTTGGAATGCTGTTTCTAGCTGCTATTGTTTTCTGTTTTCACGCGAGCCAACTTTTGCTGAAATGTGTTAGTGACGTTTATTGCCTCAAGAAAACTCCCTTGGAATTCTCTTTATGCAGCAAACACTGTTTCTAGTTTTAAAACCAACCGTGACTTTGCTCTCTCAACAGGAGGGTTCAATCAGTACCCGCCACCGGCGCTCGAGGGCACCTGCAGACGCATGGCTCTGGCCTGGGAGGCTGGTCAGGATGGCGGCCTCAGGTGAGTGGAAGCTCTCACGTTTGCAGGTGACCATGATGGACCTGTCCCTGGCAGACGATGGGGTATCAGACTGAGGAAAGAGCGGGCCTTGAGGTCAAGGCACCTCTTCCATTTTCCGTGGCAGGAGTTGCCTGTCAAACTTTCCAGTCTCATGTTTCTGTGGCATCACGTGCTTTACCGCCGTCTTGCCGTACGTCAGGGTTTACTCAGAAATCCCTGTATTGACCTTGACCCCAGAATAGAGCCCACAATACACCCGTGGCCACCCCGCCTCACTTCCCGTTCGTTCCTCCCCAACCGGGCCCGGGGTTTTGGCCATGCTGGACTCCCCTCACCCTGTGCGACTGGGCCACATTGCCCTGCCTGGCTCCTGTTCCTTCCGCGACACCCCGCCCATCTTCCGTGACCCAGACCGGAGCTGCCTCCTCCTAGAAGCCTGTTTGCACCATCTTCTGGCGCTGCTGAGTCCTGACTGCGGTCACCCCAGTGTCTACCTTGCTGGATCTGAGGCTTCTGTGGTTCACTGTCTCACCCCAACCCATAGCAGAAAGGGCCCACAAAGTAACTGCACGTGTGAATCACTTTCTTTAGTGTTGCACCCTGAATATCAATAAAAAGACACGTGCTTCATCTGAATGTGCCTCTCCCCGAGCCGAGTGGAGGTGGCCCGAGCTGCTGCCTCCTGCCTCTCCGGTCAGACTGCACAGGTCAGACTTGGTCATTCCAAAGTAGGCTTCATAGGCTGTAAGCAGACGTGGAAAAAGGAAGGATCAACAGCAAGCCGGGACCCCGACGGGGGCCCTGGGAGAGCCGGTCCAGGCCACACTCACCCGTCTTCACAGACAGCAGCAAAGCAAAAGAGCTTCTCGGGACAGATCTTGCAGATACACCCAGAGCAGAATGGCGAGAGGAAGGCTCCCCAGAGGCCACCGCGCCCACGTCCCTCTGGGATCGCAGTCACTCACGTGGTGGCCGAGCAGCCTGCCTGCAGCCACACGGTCCTGGTGTATGTGAAGCTGTGTCTCCCCCCCTGCACAAGCAGTGGACTCTTTGAAGGAAGTCGGTTTGTGGAGGGCCACGCGATGGTGTCATTTAAACACACACAAACTCAGAACTGGCTGTGCACAGCCCTCATGCAGCTGGACAGCCAGAGCACGTTCATGCAGCAAATCCGAACAAACCCGGCAGGACAGATTTTCAACATTGACTCAATGCAGTGGATGGTTCTGCTTTGTCCAAAAGGAGTTCCTGCCGCACAGTGGTTCACGCCTGTAATCCCAGGACTTTGGGAGGCTGAGGCTGGAGGATTGCTTGAGCCCAGGAGTTCGAGACCAGCCTGGGCAACATAGTGAGACCTAGTCTCTACAAAAGAAAAATAGCCAAGTGTGGCGGCACACACCTGCAGCCCCAGCTACTTGAGAGGCTGAGGCGGGAGGATCCCCTGCGTCCAGGAGGTCGAGGCTGTGGTGAGCTCTGATCAGGCCACTGCACTTCAGCCTGCGTGACAGAGTGAGACCCCGACTCAAAAAAGAAAAAAGGAATTCCTAAAACCACAACAGCGTGTCCACATCGGTGACATCGGTGAACCGTGGTGCGTCCGCAGAGGCGGCTCTGCCTCAGCCCGCCCGCTCTGTGCTCACCACCCTGAGCCCCCGCTGCACCCTCACCTGCGCCCACACGGTGTCCCGGCAGCGTCAGGGCCTCACGTGGCGTGAGCGTATCCTCTGTGCGTCCCATCATTCCCTCGTCACTCTCACAGTCACAACAGCACCACCGGGGCCAGAGCCAGAGTCAGACACAAACACAAACCCTGGAAACGGCATCAAGTGCGTCGTCGAGAATATACTTCCATCGAATGTGCCTCCCGTCATCGTCCAAATAAAAATGTGCAACTCTCAGATGATCACAGAGAATGCTTAGGCTGCTAAGGATGTAAACGCAAGGGCCAGTGTCAGGGGCTCTGATCCCAGTGGGATCTGCTTTTTGTAATCTTGCTCTTCTCAGAGCAGTGCTTGGTCAATCTGTTGAGGATTTCCCATCGTTTCTGTGGTGATTGGAATTGATCTGGGGTGCAAAAAGCTTGTTCCAAATAGCCTATGAATTTATTGTCATTTATCTAAATCTCTGCACAGGTCAGACTTGATAATTCCAAAGTAATGCTTCATAAGCCATAAGCAGACGTGGAAAAGGAAGGATAAACAATAATTTTCATTTATTGGAGTTGTAAAAATAATGCATATAATTAATTTCAGTGAATTATTTGATAAAACAGCTTAGATTGTCACCACTCCATCGTTTTGTTTTTAGGAAATGAATCCCATGTTGAGCTTAGGGCTGTTCTGTTTGTGTTCTCTGGGGCTGCCTGGACTCACCCACAGCCTTCCTTTCTAGTTTCAGGCTTTCCCCCGAGTCCCATGAGGTTTCTTCAGGAGACAATGGCCTCATCAGCCAAGAATTCAGTGCCGAGAGAGACGCGTCCCTTGTGAAGTTAGAGGACAACGGGAGTGAACATCTGGTTTACTTTCCAAATCAAATGGTTGAGCCACAGAAATTAGTGATTAATTTTGGAAAAGTTCGGGAATCTGCAGAAAGTGCAAGTCTCACCTCTGGTAAGGACATGAAAAGTCACGATGAAAAGGTGTAAACAGCGTGGAGCCCCATCTCCTAACCCCGGCAGAGAATCAGACAAATTAAGGCTGACGTCTCATGCAGCTGGGTTCTGTTTGTTTGTTATGTTCAACATGGTGAATGAAACGTCTACTTTTGTCAAAACTGAGGAAGTCAATGGTGACAGGTACCAGCAGGAAGATAGATGTAAGCTCTCAGGAATGCCCCAATAGTCTCACTAAACCCAAGGCATCTCTAAAACCCACGATTTGGAAATTAGTATGATACAGAAGGAAGCAGTTTAGAGGCCTTCAGTGCAAAGGTGGGATTAGAACATAAGCCTTCACAGCTGGCCTGGCTGGGGCCCCAGAACTTGCAGTTACCTGAGAGGGTGTCAGCTCGCCCCTGAGGTGCCCAGAAGCGGTGGAACGTAAACCTCCCAATGCCTTTCTCTGCATTGTGAGGCAAAGCAATAACTTTTTCAAGGATTTGATAGTTTCAAACAAATCAGATACAAAAGATAATGTCGGTGTGTTCAATAAGAAAGCATGACACCGTAAATAGATATTTCAACAACCCCGCCTATGCTTCTAGAAGCTTCCAGAATGCTTCCTTGGTCAGAATACCAGGATGCTAAGCCTTCTGCTCAAAGTCGCATGTGTGTAGCCAGGACATGCACGTATCAAAGAGGGCCAGGCTGCATGAGCAGGGTCGGTCTTAGTGTCGTCCTCGGATAAGGTTTCCTTTTCTTGGGTTTAACTCTCATGTCTTTACAACTATGCATGAAACATAGATATTTGAACCTCATCTTTAAAACAGCTAAACTTACCTTCATAGAAGTTGCAATTCAGAATAAAAACCATCACTAGTTGGAAAATAGGCATCTTAGCTTAAGAAGGAAGTGAAGTGATTCAATAAACTGGATTATGGGGTCCCATGACATTAAGACGCCAAGTGTGTATGGTTTTTAGTTATGACAAGTTTTCAATTCCAATGTAGACACAACCTACGAAGAGAATTCATGGTTTGTTCTTTTTCGTAGGTGTTAATTTGGGGTGTTCTTTTTAATGATAAGGGAATTACAACAGCCCTCAAGGCACGGAAATGTATTATGGTTTGGTTTAAAAATAAAAAGAGAGAAGAGAAGCTTTGGGTGCTTGGTAGAATACCAGTGTCCTTTGTGAGAACCTTGTTAGAAGGAAGCATTCAGAGTCTAGGAATTCAGAAACGTGAGCCTTTTCAGGAAAGACAGATATGACCCGGTGAAGGAAGGAAAGTTATCTTTGCAGCCATTGCTAATGACCATTGTTCCATAGTTTTTTAAAAACAGGGCTTTTCATTGAGTTTTTCAGATGTCTGAGAATCAAGATACTTAGTCAGTGCAAGGTTCAATTTGGCTGAGGAAGTAATTGTTCACAGCTGTAGCAGGAAAAGCAAAAAATGTGAACGCACCCCGCCCAGCTCCTTGCGCAGGGGTTGAGGGCTGCTGGGAGTTTGGGCTGACTAGCCCGGCCGAGCTAGCCTGGGAGCAGTGAGTTCAGACCCAGCGATGATATGTATCTTTTACCCTTTAAAGTGAACCAGAGTCTCAGATCATGAGTGTTTTCTAGGGACGTTGTGCTGTTCTTTTCTTTTCCTTAAATCGTCCTTAGCCAGTTGCCAACGCCTGCCGAGACCGTTCTGTCTCACGTGTTGTCCTTCTGAAGAGAGAATCGTGACTCAGATGTTTTATTCCATTGTTCAGAGATGAACTTGGCTGAGTTTCAGCTGTACTGCACAAATAAAAGGTTGACTGTCCCAAGCACGTCCATATGCTGTGTTTGTTGCTCATTTGCAATGGCATTCTTACAGCTGACAGCTGATCTTTCTGCCCTTGAGCTGAGAGTCTGGGGAAAGTCAGGAACCTTACCCACGTGAGAAGTGTGCGGCTCCCGGAGTCCTGTGGGCTGGCAGTGAGTGTCATCCACTTTCACCAGCAACATGGCCACTGACCCCTCCCGGCCCAGCCACTCCCCTGCTGTGTCCACCCGCTCTGGTCTGAATGGCGATTCTCTGCTGTTCCGGCACCTTCCCGGCCTCCCGGTCCTTAGAGCAGCCCACGGACAACGGTGTCAGAATTACCTGCAGGTGCATACAAGCACGGACCCCAGCGCTTGAGAACCACGGCTGTGTACCCAGGGTGTGAGCGGGAGGAGACGCCACTGTGGTGACCTTGGTGTGTCCTGAGTGAGAGGTCAGGGGCCCCGAGGTTCCCAGAGCAAGGTCCCCGCACAAGCAACTTCGGCGGAGGGGGCACCTGCTGCGTGTCGAACTCTGGGGTGAGGGTGAGGGTCTCAGTCCGAGTTTTAACACAAAGCCCAGGTGGTTCTGATGAGGCTGAAGTTTGAGGACTGCCGCTCCTCTTACCACCAGGCATGTGGCCCTCGGTCTGATTCCTGGTGGGGCGGAGTCTCACTGGTGTCTGGGACCACAGAAAACAAGCGGGAATCCGTGTTTCTAGAGGGTTCCAGGGAACTGGGCATAACTTCATTGTATTCGTCCGAGAACCTCCATCCTTCCGACGTCTACCTAACAGAACATACTTAGGGTCTAAATGTGCAGAGATGACCTCGAGATGCCAGCAGACACTTGGACGGTGGCGCCTGAGTATAAACACCCCTCGCAGCCAGCAGCCCCTCCGGGTCACGCGCCAAGGGAGTGCATGCTGCTCTCTGGAATCCTGTCATAAAAATGGGGGGAGGGTTTGATCTTAATCAAATGCAGCCGTCGGCCCAGTGTCGAGCTTGGTCCTTTCTTCAAAGGTGCTGGATGCATCAATGTGAAGACATAGTCTACATTCAGAGTTTTTAAAGGACAGGATATTTTGTGATGAATTCCAACAGGCTCTAGACTCAGCCCAGGGCTGGCTCCCAGCTTTAAGCAGTCCCCAGCCTGGGACAATGTCAATGGATGTTCTTTCCTTTTTTTTTTTGAAAGCAGGATTTATTGAGAGGACAGAAAAGCTCCCACAGTGGGAGGGGACCCGAAGGGGTTGCCCGATGCTCTTTTCAATGAGTTCATTAAGAAGTGAGAAGCGCCGGGCTCCGTGGCTCAGCCTGTCATCCCACGCCTTTGGGAGGCTGAGGTGAGTGGATTGCCTGAGCCCACGGGTTCGAGACCCGCCTGGGCAGCGAGACC